AACGTATGAACAATTTCTAAAACGAGGCAAACTATTGACAAACAAGTTGATGAAACAAGGACATCAACAGTCTCGTTTGAAGTCACCATTTGGCAATACAATGACCTTGTCAGCACATGCAACCTATCATGAAGTCAAATGTTGACTGATGTTTTTCATACTAATTGTTAGGCCATTACTATACACTGGACTGTCTACGGATTTTTGCGGGCTTTTTTTCGATCACAACGAGGAGCACACGGCGGGTGTGACCGGTCGACAGGGGATGTTCACTCCTCCATGGCACCTGATCCCACCTCTAAATTTTGAGGTCCGTGTTTGTTCTGCTACAAATTTGTATCGTTTCATTGGACTTTCGAATTTAAATAATGTTCGTTATCTTCATATTTCATTAGTTGTAACAATACAGCTAATATAGCTAATATAGCATCCTCAAGAACTGTAGATTCAAAATTGTTCATGTCCCCCATGGGTAGGCAGAGGCCTTAATAGAAGATTAATGTTTACATAGAAATATTTAGGTTAATCTTCGTGGACCATGATTAAACCAAGGAATGTTGAAACATTCTCAGTTAGTTAAGATTCAAATTTAAATTATGCCCCCTTTCCAGGCGGTATGTATGGACCACTTATATATTTAAACTTTTCAATACTGAGCTGATTTCTGCTTTTTCTCAACCAAAATGCTTAGGTGAGCGATTTGGCCAGTGGGCCTTTTGTTTTTTATTAGATGACGCATTTACGTGTTAAATATTGCAACCTCCTATGCCAATAAATTAGCTAGCTCTGCTACTGAACGTACGGCGAGGTAAAACTTTTACGTGGATTTTTTGTTCACTTACAGCGAGTTCACAGGAACACCGAGTGTTTGGACATCAATGGAAAAAGTGTTGATGCCATGTCTGTATTCATGCACTGTATAGAATATTTAAAATCGCATATGTTAGAAGCTTTGAATGATTCAAAAGGATTTGAAATAAAGATTACAGACATCGATTTTGTACTAACAGTGCCAGCTATATGGGATGATACAGCTAAGATGTTTATGAGGGAAGCTGCCATCAAAGTTAGTAGTCAACGTGAACTTATTCAAATATCAAAAACTCACATCTTATCATCATCCCACTTTCATGAAACAAAAAAGCTCATATAAACAATTGTTTATATGAGCTTTTATATATTTTCAATGAGTTAAATAATAGCATTCAGTTATTCAATTATTCATTGCATATGTCAACAAGTTTTAAACTTAGTTTTGAATTGGTTTTACTTCATACTTCGTTAAATTGTTCAAGATCAACAGCTACTTTCTGTGCTATATTTTTTAAATGTAAACGAAATATATTGTTAAGCAAACTGTAAAACTACACTATAGGCCGGAATACCAGGGGACCAACTCCTGTTTGCTTTGGAACCCGAAGCCGCGTCTATCTACTGTCAGTTGATGTATCTGGAACCTCAGAACAATTCCAGCTTTCGTATAACAGAAAAGGACTCTAATGCAAAGTACATGGTTGTTGATCTTGGAGGTAATCTATCTCTATCTCTCTCTCTCTCTCTCTCTCTCTCTCTGTGTGTGTGTGTGTGTGTGTGTGTGTGTGTGTGTGTGTGAGGGTGTGTGTGTGTGTTACTTTTGTAGTCCTAAATCTATTTCAAATTCTTTATTCATTTTAAAAATATAAATTTTGTAGCTTTTGTGTAGAGCAGGAATTCATAGGCTATTCATGTTTCTGAATTCATAGGCTATGCATGTTGCTCAATTCATGTACATATGAATATAGTACATGTAACAGTACTGAAAAAAAGAATGATGTGGCTTTTGACTTGTTCATAGAATCTGCTTTTCTTTGATAGCCAATTTAACCAAACATTGATATTCTACTTTCAGTGATATTATGTGTTGATGCTTATAGTAATTATCTGTCATATAAAATTATTGTTCTTTACAACTTTGATACAATGCAGATTACTAGTACTTAAAAAAGAGTACTCTGCTTGCATCTTGATTTTTTATCTCAGTAATATAGTTTTATTTTGGTGACAGGTGGCACGGCAGATATTACTATACACCAAATGCAGAGGACTAGAACAATAATAGAACTGACTCCTGCTTCCGGAGGACTTTGGGGTGGAACACGCATTGACGAAAATTTTGGCACTTTTCTTAATGAATTGTTTGACAAAGAGGCAATGAAAAAATTTCGAACAGACAGTGCCGAAGATTATTTTGATTTTTGGCAGCGATTTGAAGTCAAGAAAAGAGCAATTGATTTTGAAACAGAAAATATCCATTTGCAAGTTCCATTGGAATTATTGTCTATTATCAAAAAGATAAATAAAGAGAAAGATATAAATAAAATTATAGAAAAATCAAAATGGAAAGGAAAAGGAATCAAATTTGCGCAGAAAAAATTGCACATACCTACAACAATTATGAAAAGTATTTTTCAAGCAACTACAGACGAAATTATCAATCACTTAACGAAGCTTGTGAAAGAAGTTGGCCAAGGTCTGAAAGTGATTTTGTTAGTAGGTGGATTCTCGGAATGTGGTCTTATTCAAAACCAAGTACGTGAAGCGTTTGAAATCAAAGGCAAATGTCGCGTTATAATTCCAAACCAGTGTGGCCTTGCAGTTTTGAAGGGTGCTGTTTATTTCGGACATCACCCGGAAATGATATCTGAACGTGTGGCAAGATACACCTACGGAATCCAAATATGGCCCAAATTTATCAAAGGGGAACATAAAGAAGAAAAGCGTGATACCAGAGGTTCTGAAGATCGATGTAGAGACGTATTCTTTAAGTTTGTTACAAAAGGAGACCGAGTGAAAGCAGGGTTCAGTAAAAGTCACATTTTCAGGGCATTGAAATCAGCCGAAGGTGATCTTGAATGTGGTATTTTCATTTCTAACAAAGAAAATCCTAAATATGTTGACGAGGACGGTTGTGAAAAGCTTGGAATTCTAAAAATTGACGTTGAAAGGGGGGCAGAGGTTGAGGAGTCCCTGATTTTTGGACATACCGAGCTACATGCGGGGGCCTGTAACTGCACAACAAAAGCAGAATACAGAGTAACGTTTGATTTGCTGTCAGAGAAAATCAAATTTCCTACAAAAACTAAAAGTTAGTCATCAAACTGTATGAAAGCTAGCTGTGATAAGTTCGACAGGGAGAGGATATCATCCTTGCTTTTAATGGCTGTCAAAGGATTCAGAAAACCAATATACATCCATGATACTCATTTTTTTTTTTTTTTTTTGTCATTCATTTCTTAGCTTGATCATTATTCTTAGATCTCTATAAGTTAATAACATGTTAACATGTACATTTATGTGATTAAAACAAAGTTTTTAAGCGGTCTATTTGTTGTGTTATAACATTCAGATATAATATTTTTATTTAATAACTAATGTACAATATTATTGCCATATATTTATTTAAATATTTTTGAACTATAGGTCTTTTGCAAATCGGATTGAGTTGATAATTTATCTTTGATATAGCTGGTGAGGTTGATATTATCCAAAGTTTTGATAATTTTGAGTATTATTGACCGTTTAAACTAAGCAATTATATCTGATAGTATTATTATTTATCAAATATAACATCATTTTTTTATTCGTTTGTATTTTTGCGATGAATGTTATCTAACATTTCTTCCATGCATACTAGTATTCCAAACTGACAGATGTTCTTGTACATTTCTGAAGTAAATATGAAATCAATATACAGTGTATACGGAGGAAAAAAATCACATTCTTCTTCAATCAATAGAAAAACTAAAAGGGACACAAAAGGTTTTTAGACGTTTGAGTGTGCAAATGTATTGTGAATATGACTGATATCTGGGTATTAATAAATGCTATACTAGAAGTGTTAAAATTGCTGACTATGTATTCATAACATTGTCTTTATGAGGTCATTTATGCCAGCTCACAGTCCCCAGTTGCCTTAACTGAAAGTTTTAATGCGTTTTCGATCAATAAAAGTAATGAAAATTGACCTTTGACCTTTTGTGATATCACCGTATAAAAACTATCTGTTTGAAACAAGCACACTTGCAAGTTTTTAGGTGATGGCTTTAACATTGTCCTAATAGGGTATGATAAGTCCATTAACCTACCATGTAATATTATTGTAAACTGAGTATCCAAATTGTGAATGAATATGAAGATAACGAACAGTTATTAATCTCCTATGTCCACTGAAGCAGTACAAATTGGGAGCAGAGCAAACACGGTCCTCTACAAAAATCAGAGGTGGAATCAGGTGCCATTGAGGAATAAGCATACCCTGTCGATCGGTCACACCCGCCGCTGCTCCTTGTCATGACTGAACAAACGGATAAATCCGTAGACAATTTAGTGTGAAATAATGGTCTTGTATGAAAAACGTCAGTCAACATTCGACTTAAGGTTAGATTGTATATTTACTAACAATGTAATTGTATTGACCATAGAATTTGCTGACTTTAAACGAGACTATTGAAATCCTTGTATCATAAACTTATTCGTCAATAGCTTGCCTTGTTTTAGAAATTGTTCGTAAATAGAACATGTCTTGCATATCGAATCAACTGGGAAACATAAACTCCATATGCGATGATAATGGTATAATACTACATAAATAAGGGAAGTTGACGATAGAGAAGTTAAATTGAAGTCATCACATTTATCAGAAAGTTTTGTTGAAGCTTTCTTTTAGTGTGTTTTTCTAGTAAATTATCCAATTTTAAATGAAACCGATGTGTCAGACTCCGTACTGTCTTTTATTTCTAGATCAAAGGGATATATCGAATCAACGAAGTTTTGTTTGTCCTTAAGCAGTCTAAAATATGTTGTCTGTAGCCTTTAAAATAAAGAACTAGCTAGTGTTAACCATTTAAATAACGATTACGTTGATCATGATAATAGATACGAGAGTTTATTTATATACCGTTGAGGTTGTTTACATTTTTAAACCGAAAGTAGATATATGAATTTACGTTCAGCATATTGTAAAATGGCCGATAAATCCGAATTTCGGGAATCAGTAAAACAAAAGCCTTCGAAGTCCTCTAAACTATTCGTGGTTGCTATAGACTTCGGAACTGCTTTCTCTGGCTATGCTTACTCATCAAAGGCAGAATGGACTAAGGTTTACGCAAACAAGTGGTCAGGAGGAGAGCAAATATCCTATAAAGCCCCCAGTGCACTTCTTCTTAACCCAGATGAATCGTTTAATTCTTTTGGATTTGACGCTGTGAATAATTATGCTTCTCTTGTTGCTGATGAAGATTGTCAGGACTATTTTTTTTTTCATCGCTTCAAGATGATACTGAAGACAAGCCTAGAGGAGGTAAAAATTCTTAACTGCATGGGTAGTGATAAGGATTAATACCAAATATAAAGTTCATGTGATATATTTTCATCTGAGAAGTGAGTAAGTTTACATAACCTTAGATTTAGCTAAATCTTCACAATTATGCATGACAGGGAAAGGGTAAAGCAGAAGGACTGGAATATCAAAAGATGTTTGATTTAGCTATACAATACAAATATAATTGAACTTATATTGGTGAATATTGGCACGGATTGGCAAAAGCTCTATTAACTGAAGAAAAAGAAATTAAGGCCATCCAACCTTTTTCCTTCATTCCCTATACTTATAGTGCTGTAAATTCCCTATACATGTACAATGATGTACGTAATATTGCGAAATGAATCGCAAGAACATTAATTCGCGAATGGACTGCTTATGAAGAGTTTTTACATGCATTTTAGCAATAAGAAAATAAAAGCGTGTACTTTTATGTAGCGTGTGTTCACTGTTGCTTCTCGCGAATTTACCTCAATATTCTACTACAGTTATTGCCGAGATCAAAGAAATGCCGCGGACATTATTCTCCAATTAATCACGAACGTCTTCAAAAGATTTTCAAAAGATTATTAAATCAGAAACACATAACAAACTTGTACAAATGAATGAATCTATAACTTTAGAATGTAATACTTATTTTGATCATATATCAATGCGTTGTCAATTTAAACTGTGTATTGCCTGGGCTGCGTTCAAGATCGTAGCGGATACGTAGTTCTACGTGGCCGCTACGATCTTGAACGATAATGCTAGCGTAGCCATTACAAGCGTTAATTCATACAGTGTGTTCAATATGACATAGATATCTAACCTAGCTGCTTCGATATTGAATGCAGCTCTGAAATAAATGAAAATATTAATTTTTATACCTGAAGGGGTCTGTTCCACGGACCTCCACACAACATTTACACTCCTTTGATTTTACTGTTGAAACAAAAAAATAGACATGTGATTTTGCTATTTTATAATCATAATTTTTTTTCAATAAACATGATAAATGTTACAAACAGATTTATAAATGAATAAAAGGTATTTTTAATCCAACAAAAACTCAAATCGTCTGCACGCCATTCCAATCCAAACAAGTTGACCCTCTGGTGTTAATTGAAACAGCTTCATCGCGACATGGTCATGATGGTGACCTAATTCTTTTCTTTATAGAGAAAACGAGAAGCCGTATTTTAGAGCTGAGTAGAGTAGAAATAAAATTCTTGTTGTCGTAGATGATGCAGGATAACTTGTTCGGTCTCGAAATGTTGTTTGAAATATATTCGACAAACGCCTGGACTTTTTATTTCAAAACAACATTTCTCGACCTCGGAGGTTATCCTGCAACATCCACGAAAACGCGAACTATATTCCTCGCATATATTCAGGAATCTACAGTGTAAATTGTTTTTCCATGGACATAGTCTTTACTTGAAAGCCTCTACTGATCTTCAAATGATATATTTTTTTTAATATTTTGCGAAAATTGAGTAAAATCCTGTAACAGTTACCTTCATACTAATAATTGTTGTTCTTATATACAGAGGGTTCACAGGAAAACACAATGCGTCGCTGAGAATGGCAAGTCTGTAGATGCAATGAAGGTCTTCACTTTGTCTATAAATTATATGAAGGACCACTTATTTACATTCCTTCAAGATAAAGTAATTAATTTGTCTATGGAGGACATCGATTTTGTCATCACGGTCCCTGCAATTTGGGATGATACAGCCAAGATGTTCATGCGAGAGGCGGCAGAAAGTGTAGGAATTTATAATATTATTTTCTTTGTTACCTTGTACTTACGATTTCCTGTTATCTAAATTACTAAATTGTATTTGTTTTAAAATAGGTTGGAATTAAACGGATACGAAATATATGTTTTAAAAATTGCTGTCAAACAATTGCAAGGGGTTTGAATTCAAAGATGAAGAAACTCATTCTTTAAGTATTGGTCTGTTATGGTATAATATATATTTTAGGGATGGCAATCGAATACAGAATTGCTAATCGGTTAACCGGAAGACGTTCCCACAAATTAACCAATTAATCGTATCAAAATATGCATTTCTTGACATTTTTTTTCAAGTAGCTTTATTCAAGAACAAGAAGACTAGAAAACGTTAGGAGTTAGAAACATTCTGTTTATCTTGATCAGAAAACTACATGTATGTATATTTATTTCAATTTCAATAGACAAGAAAAAATTAAGAAAACCATGAAACATGCCTGAGAAATCAGATATAATTGATAATTTTCCAAAGCAGATGTCACACAAGTTCATTCTGCATTGTCGCCATAATCAAAACGTCTGAACTTTCACTTTAATATTTACAATGTTTGCCTAATTATATAATTTTTTGATAGATAGCTGTAAAAGATAGACATACCAATACTTAGTATCGCGATTACTTCAAGGATTTGACTTAATGCCGTTCTTTTGCGGCGAAGTCGAGGAAACTCTAAATCTCGCGAGATTTCGGGGCATGAAGTACGCTAGTGACAATCGAATGATTCGAACAATTAGTATGCCGCAATTACAATGTATTGCAAAGGGTTGAACTTCAAATAGTACGTTGTCTAATTGGAATGTTTAGAGTTTTATTTTATCAGCTTCCAAAAGTAATTATTATCAGAAAGAAATGGTTGAATTTAATTAGAAGAGTTGGCTTAGTGAAAAAAGTATCAATAAAAATGTAACACATTTGGACTACGTTCTCTTGAAATGTTTTAGCGTGGTTCAGCGAATATTCCGCAAGATATTTCACCAGGACTTCTTTCATATCTGCCCTTTGAAAATCCACAATGCTCGATCTCGCGTTGTATGCAACAGCACATTGTCCCCAGCTAATAGAGATTTCCTACCTTCGCCGCCAAAGAGTTCCATTAAGTTTAGTAATCGCGATATCACGTATTCACGGTGCTCAACGGTGATTTGATTAATAGCATTAAAGAATTACATATTCATACCGTATATACATTTGATAAACCACACATAATAAAGATTTCCTGTATGCAATCTAACCATGGATTTGCTAAATTTCCATCACAATACAGTTTAAACATATAATTTTATTTTTATAATACATTTACAATTTTATTTTGCGGGCCTGAAAAAGGCTTTGCCTAATATGAAATCATTCGACAATATACTGATAATGTAGATGAAAACGACCTGTTTCACCATAGACCATGTATGTTGGCGTTGAACTTTTCAAATTAAACACATGCTTTAAAAATCAAGTGTAAACGTTCAATGACATCAAGATTTTCAAAACCCCATACTTCAGAATCATACAGTAAAACTGGTACTACAACTTTATTCGAAAAGATCGAACTGGCAGTCAATTGTCTGATATTTGTTATAATGCCATACATTGCTTTTTGGGCTTGTTCGTAAAGATGTTTTTTTTTGTTTTGTTCTGAGCGAGAAAATATAACACCTAAATATTTAAATTCTTTTACATTTTCTATAACTAAATTGTTATAATAAAATTTTGTTTTTAACATAGGGCCCTTTGAAAATACTGAATATTTTATTTTTTCCGCGTTTACTTTCAATTTCCATTGTATTATATCATACATTTTAATTTTATAAAGGTTGGTATTAAAAGAGATCGTTTGAAAATAGCATTAGAACCTGAAGCTGCCTCTATCTATTGTCAATTAATGCATTTGGAATCCTCCGACAACAGCAGGTTCTTCTTGGCAGGGAAAGAAGTTGATGCAAAGTATATGGTACTTGATCTCGGAGGTAGGAATAATGCTCATGAATTAATAAATTAAAATATGCATGTTAACAAAAGATTGTATGGTTTTTGTGTTGCCTTAATACAGTAAAACTCAAATCTGACACATATGCAATTCAACTCACTGTGAATTCCGGCTGTTATTTTCATTTTCCATGTTCTTCATACTGTGTAATCCGACATTCTGTTTATTCTGACACAAAATTATTGTCCTAGTGCATTTAAGATAGACAGGTTTCACTATACACAGTTGCAATTAATCTGACGATAAAGTATCACTTTAGTGTATGATACCTGTATCAATTTATTGAAAATACGAAGCACACAGACAAACTCAAACATGTACTTCCTTTATTAAAACGATTAAATGTTGAAACACAGAAAAAGGCGATGAAGTTAATCATAGGAAAACACAGAAAAGGGCGATCAAGTTGATCGTAGGATTATTTACTCTGTCCATATACCGTATAGCGGGTTTCTTTGGCGGGTGTAAAATTTGGCGCTTTGCTTGCTCAAAGGTAAGCCAATAATTCTGGCATGTCTAATTTTCCGTGACGTTGTAAAAGAGAGGTTCACTTTCTGGATAATTTTTCGTAGTAATTAATATACACTGCATTTAAATACAGATCTAGGCAAGAGTTTGAGTTGAGTAAAAACCAACACCAGATGAAAGATATATTGTTTAACAAGATATTGACCAAATCATTGTTGTTATATTCTATATCTATACGCAAGAGTGCAAATTTAGCAATAAAAGGTTAGCGGGATACTTAAACCGCTAAAATAAGCCAAAGTTAGTACCCTGCTAAAAATTCCCGCTATATGGTACTCAGTATCATTAGTCTATAATTCGATATGACTGATTAGTAAAATGTTGTGTATATTTCTTTAAACATGTCTGTGTTTATAAAATGTCTCTTAATGAATTAATCCCTGTTTTGTTGTGGTCTTGCTAGAAAAAAATTGGAAATACTGCTTATCTTTATTCCTATGCAATGTTTAAACTTCATATTTTAGGTGGAACAGCAGATATCACTGTTCATCAGCTGAAGAAGGATGGAACTTTAGCAGAGCTGGTGCCAGCAAGTGGAGGTGCCTGGGGTGGAACATGTGTAGATCAAGCATTCCAAGATTTTCTTGTAGAGTTGCTTGGCGAAGATGTCATGAGGATATTCAAAATGGATCCGGAATACGTTGAAGATTATTTTGATTTTTGGCAAACTTTTGAAATCAAAAAACGAAGTTTTGAAACAAGCAAAAAAGAAACATTTCTTCTTCGTCTTCCTGTTGGACTTGCAGATATTGTGGCAGATAAAATGAACAAGAAAGGCAATATAACCAATAAAAGCAAACAGGAAATGACATCAGATATCATTATGCAAGAAGTCATAAGAAATTCCAGATTTAAAGACGAACTGAATTTTGAACACGGAAAACTTCAGATGAAATACGCCTTCTTCAAACAAATGTTTGACCCTACTGTAAAATTACTAACCGACCATTTATCTAAACTTAACAAAGATATTGGAGAGGATTTAAAAGTGATTCTCATGGTAGGGGGATTTTCCGAGTGTAGCATTGTCCAAGAAGCTGTCAGAGAGGTCTTTCGAGACAAATGTAGAGTTGTGATTCCGAATCAAGCCGGTCTTGCTGTCCTGAAAGGAGCTGTCTATTTTGGACACCAACCATATCTTATCTCGGAACGTGTCGCGAGGTATACTTATGGAATTCAAACTTGGCCGAAATTTGATAAAGCAGTGCATAAGACATCAAAGTTTGTCATGATGGAAGAGGAAGAAAGATGCAGAGATGTGTTCTTCCGATTTATTGCGAAGGGAGAAAGGATTAAACCTGGAGACAAGAAATCGTACATATTTAACGCACTAAAACCAGGAGAAAGGGCGCTAGAATGTGGCGTATTCATTTCAACTGAGGAGGACCCTCAATATGTTGATGAAAAGGGTTGTGTTAAGCTAGGGGTTCTGGAGGTTCCATTACAGAGTGTTAGACTTGATGGGAAATTAGAAATAGAAGAATCTTTGATATTTGGTCACACAGAATTACAAGTAACAGCTTGCAATTGTCACAACAAGAAAGAATATAAAGTTACTTTTGATTTGCTTTCTCCTGAAATCAATTTCCCCGATAAATAAGCGCGTTTTCTATGTCCTACATGTAAATGCCAGATATGTTCTACTATTCAACTCTTATCTATGACTCATGGTCTGAATTCCACATCATAAAATGTGCTTCAGTTTGAGGGCAATTGAGACCTCTGCCAAAATTATTATTCGAACATGAAATTAGTGGCAAAGAAGCCTATTAACTGATTTGGTAGAACCTTCATTTCTATTTCAGTAATTATTAGGATAAGTAACACTTTAAATGACCAAATTAGGTGTGTTTGCCATGTTAGTCAATTTTATTTAATTAACACATGAAAATGACGGTTATCAAAGTGGTGTTCTTAATCGTTACATGTATACACGTGCATTAAAAGTGTAATAGAACAGGAATACCCCTACCCACACCTCAAATGTAACCCCAGTCTTTCAACTTTTGTTGTCATCTGAAGTCTCTCAGATGACCTGTTGCAATCTGTTTTCATCTGTCGTCGTGTGTCGTTCGTAAATTTTTGAACATTTTCAGCTTCTCACAAACCACTAAACCAAATTTAACTAATTTTTGTACATAACATCTTTGGGTTAAGGGGGACCTAAATTGTGAATATCATGATATCTGCCTCTCTGGGGCCGGGGGGGGGGGGGGTCGGCCAAAACTTTCAAAATTAACGAACGGTTGTAGCCTTGAACAAGATGTGTTTGTGAAACACTGATGCCCCCGTATGGCAGCTAATGGCGAAGGTTATAGTTTCTCAAATGCGAGTCAAAATCCAGGCCAAAAGATAAAAATGTTGGTACCCAAAGAAAGGTCTTGTCTCGAGGAATATACCTGTGAAATTTGAAAGCCCTAACTGCAACTGTTCAAAAGTTATGGCGAAGGTTAAAGTTTTTTAAAAGTAAGTAAAACGTCAAGGTCAAGGTCAAAGTTGTTGGTATCCAAAGGAAGGTCTTGTCACAAGGATTACATATGTGAAGTGTGAAAGCCCTAGCACCAACCATTCAAAGGTTATGGCCAAAATTAAAGTTTTTCAAAAGTAGGTCAACCTCCTATGTCAAGGTCAAAGGGTCAAAGTGGTTGGTATCCAAAGGAAGGTGATGTCACAAGGATTACATATGTAAAGTATGAAAGCCTTAGCATCAACCATTCAAAAGTTATGGCCAAGGTTAAAGTTTTTCAAAAGTGGGTCAAACTCCTAGGTCAAGGTCAAAAGGTCAAATAGGTTGGTATTCAAAGGAAGGTCTTGTCACAAGGATTACATATGTGAAGTATGAAAGCCCTAGCTTCAACCATTCAAAAGTTATGGCCAAGGTTAAAGTTTTTCAAAAGTAGGTCAAACTCCTAGGTCAAGGTCAAAAGGACAAAGTTGTTGGTATCCAAAGGAAGGCCTTGTCACAAAGAATACACAAGTGAAGTTCTAAACCTCAAGCACCAACTGTTCAGAAGATATCGCCAAGCTTAAAGTCTCAAAAGATTTTGCAAAAGTGGGTCAAACTCCAAGGTAAAGGTTAAAAGGTCAAATATGATGGGTACCCAAAGAAAGGTCTTGTCACAAGGAATACACATGTGAAATATGAAAGTCATAGCTCCAACCAATCAAAAGTTATGGGCAAGGTTAAAGTTGACAACAGACAGACAGACAAACAGACAGACAGGACAAAAACAATATACCCCCGGGATCTTTCGATCTGTGGGCATAAAAATCTTTTCCTTTACTCCCAGACATCAAGCACTCAAACTAATTGCATGGTGATGTTAATAAATAATTAGCGCTTTACCAACATTGTGAAATTTATGGACCCGGGGTCAGGAATTCTGGTTTTAGTGAAAATGCAGAAATTCTTTTAAATCTTCTCTCCCCATGCATATTTTGCGGACAAAGTAAGTCATGATTATGATTAACAGCGTTCCAAAATTGTAAAATTTATTACCCCAGGGCCAGAATTCTGGTGTTAGGGCGGGGCCCTATTGGTCATATACTGAAAATATGCAAAGTCTTTAAAATTTTTCTTCCTTTCTCGCGTATATTTTGCAGACAAACTAAGTGTATGGTTATGATGAGCAAGGGTGGGTGCCTCAAATTCAAGTCCACAGGGTCAGGAATGTTGGTGTTAGGTCGGGCTCTGTTGATCAGTTACTGAGTAGTGAAAATGCAATTTATTCTTTGAAAATCTTTACTCCTGATTTTATAGCTTATATCAGGTACATAGTTGGAATAAGCAAGGACTCTTCTACCAAAATTGTGAAGTTCCTGGCCCAAGGGAAAGGAGTTCTGATGTTAGGGCGGGGCTCCATTGATAAGCAGAGGTTTAATTGTGAAATTCATGGCCTCTAGGCAGGTTCTGGTGTAAATGTGGGGCTCAACCGATCATATATATACATGTTGTGAACATACAAATGTATATTAATTACTTGAAAATCTTCTCTGCTCTTGAGAATTAAGTGTTGTGAAGAGGAAGAGTGCATTACCTAAATTGTGAAATTCATGGTCCTGGGTCAGGGGTTCTGTTATTAGTGTGTATTGGACTCTATTGATCATGTAGTGTAAATTCTCTGGACATTTTATTCCCTGCTCCTTGACATCTAGGAGACAAACCAAGTACGTGGTTATCATTAGCAAGGGTGTTTTTACCATATTTGTAGATTTGCTCCTTGGCATCTAGGAGACAAACCAAGTATGGTTATCATAAGCAAGGGTGTTTTACCATATTTGTAGATTTTTTAACACTGAGTCGTTTATTCTGGTGCTAAGACGGGTCTCTATTGATGTAGGGAAATTTTACTCTACGAGAAGTTATTCCCCTTTGATTACTCACCTATGATAATTTATCACTGTAAATAATGTAATTGAAAGGTATATTGAATAAAATATTCTGAATAAAACAAAGGTTCTTAATATACGTATAATTAAAAAAAAAGTACTTTTGTAGTTTGAAAGGTCAAGTAAATTTGTAAGTAATAAATAAATAAACATTAGACAAAATACTTTAAATTTGTACCATAAATATTACAAAAAGAGCAGAAGCTGGTGGAAAGAGGTGTGTTATAAGTTTAGTCTCATGTTGAAACACTAAATTTTATTCTTAAGATTGGTAGAAAGACAAATGAGTGTAGTTAACACTGGCATATTCAGGCAAGTAAATAGATGTTGCAACTATTTTCTTAACCCCTGATTGCCCTATTTCTCTTCTTTGTGAGAAACATATCTTCCTGTATCAATTTATTATTCTTAATTATATAATAATCAAATTGTCATTCTATGGATTTTACAACTTTGTATCGTACTCAGGTGATCATTAAGGCCCTTAAGCCTCTTGTTGTCATTAATAATCTTTTCATAATATATTTGTGGTTTAATCCCTGTTATCAATCTAAAAAGATTACCTAATTGATTAGAACGATCTAAAACTCGAAAATCCACTGTAGTAGATAAAGTCTTTTTTCTTTATCCTTCAAATATCGTTAAAGTTTAGAAGTTTAGAAGTTTTAGGTACTTTAACAGTCCGTAATGACCAGTTTTCTAGAAGCAAGTTAGACATTAAACTGGATGAGACATATGTTTAACTGTGATATTCTGAGGGAGAGAGAAGAGAAGAGAGATTTGTACATTTCCATTTAATCAGAATGATATCGGATTAATTCGTGCCAACTTTATTTTCCCTTTGCTCCATGTCAATATTAAAGAAGCTTTATTTAAAAATACATGTCACAAAAAATTACACTTGTTTGTTTTGTTTTCTTCACGTTTATTTGAGAATTTTCTACTCATACTGGGAAGCTACTAATTGCAAGTGGAAGGCTGCAAATTTAGACCTATTACCATTGAGCATTTGGGGGTTACCTTCGTGCCAGCACTCTCTGTGATAAGGGATCAAAGTTTAAACAAATATAAAATAGATATATACATTAAGATGTCATAGATAGATTACTGCCAGAAAAATTGTTACATTTTAGGCCAACATTTTTTATATCCTGTTTTACGGGAGCGCCGACCCTAATTTGGGCGAAAATGAAATAAAAATAAAAGACCCTAATTCAAGTTTTATTTTTATTTCTCCCGCCAATAGTTTATTTATAGTCACTGAAAAAATAAAAGAAATATTAATAAACTTTTCACAAGCCTTTCAAAATGCTTTTTGTCATTGGCTTAGGTAAATATATTCATCCAATCCAGAGACATTTAATATATATATCTCTGTCCAATCACAGTATTCGAAGTATGAATAGTCATAATGTCAGCGAAATCCGTAGAGACTAAAATTTTGGTCTGGTGACACCAGACGAACATTTTAGTCTCTATGGATCTCGCTGAGATTAGAATAGTCACTGCACAGCATAGCGCCGAAATGTCAGAATCGTAGGGATTCATATATTCTTAAATAGTCATTTTATAAAGTGACATGTCAATGTCATATATTAGAAAAAAGTATAAATTTCAGATTAACTTTTAATGAAAGACTGAATGAAATAGACAAATCAGTTATCTTGATCAAATATCATGCATAGGGCCACGTGGAAATTGAGGTTCTGTGAACCGCTTGTTTTGAAAGGTTTTGAGTACGTATTATCTTTGACAGTTGCTTCCATACATTGAAGTACGTCTTGAAGATTGTTTTGAAACTTGATTTTAAGACAATAATGTTTTCTTTAACAATTAACGACAGAACAGAACACTGTAGAGCTGGTAGAAAGTGGCGTGACTGAGGAAATTCGAGTCACAACTTTCACTCGTTTTATGACAAATATTGGAATTCAAAATTACTTACGAAAATATATGCTTGATTGATACAAGACATTATTTCCTTTTTTTATCATTTTATGGAATTTTGCGTGATATATAACAAATTACTGTACATCAGCTATTAATAACAGCTGATGATAATGTACATGTATCTCTTGTTTTAGTAAAACAACTTTTTTTACCACTAAGGAAAAGAATTGTGGTAAATGATGCGCCCTTACAAATATTATTTAAATTTAAGACCTGGTTTCTTTTTTTCATGCAAAAGTTGTGGATTAGAACCAGTTTCAACAATTAAATTTTTGAATTCTGCAGTAAACAGAATATTGTCATGTGTATTTTACATGTGTATACTTTGGGAAAGATGTACATATTTTCTACAATTATGTTGAAAGTTAGCATGCTCAAAAAGAAAAATATAAGGATATATGGGATAAAAAGAGATCAAATATACTACAGATTGAGGAAGTTTGAATGTTTTCAACAGAGAGATCGGGGTACTTTTTTCCACCTACGTATATATTAACTTGAATTGCGTTGAAAAAAACATGCAACTTTTCTTTTTATCATGTCTCACATGCACTTCTGTTCACGAATGAATTTATTTTAGCTGATCCATTGAATGCCTCACTGTATTTTGCCATAACTTTGTCAGAGCTGGTCCAAAATCCTCATATCTTGTAATTTGCTAAATACCGAAAAATAAAAGATTCTGAAAAGTTAATGAGGGGAGTGACATAAGTCCTATAAGTTTTACTATGGTGACACTATGATATTTGACAACTGAGAGAAGACTATAGATTTGTATGTTCGATTTGTATTGATGTTAAACTGTAA